CATCGTATTGTGACGTAAGCATGAGAAATTGTGGTGGGGCAAACAAAGAAATGGCACAAAAGAACAAAAACAATACTTTCAATATCCTTCTAAGACCTCTGTGGGAAGTGCATATTACGCCTCAGAAACATTCTCATGCCTACATTTATAAAACATCCCAAAACATCCCAGGGATATACCTCTCAGTATAGGCAAACAAAGAAATGTCACCGAAGAACAAAAACAATACTTCGATATCCTTCAAAGACCTCTTTGGTCAGTGCATATTACGTCTCAAAATAACATCTTCATGCCAACATTTTCCAAAACATCCCAGGGATGTTTGTGCTTGCTGGGGGGCCACTTTATAAAAAACTTTAAGACTTAAAATTTATCAACTAACATTTGAGGCTTATCACTTATGACAGATGGAACTTGAAAATATCATTGGTTATGTTATAAAACCATTTAAGACTTATGATTTAACATTTAAGATTTAAGAAGATGACCAACTTTCAATTTAAGATGTGCCGATAAAAGATCATAAATGGAATATGGAGTGCGCATCCAAAAGTGACATCTCAATTTCCCGCCATTCAATAAAAATTCGAAATATCTTGTGTTATAATTCCTGAATATTTGTTTTTCTTCTGATTGATACTGAACCATTCTTCAAAAATACACCAAAAGATCCAAGGAGTGAGCAATTTCTGTTAGACAAGGAATAATGATTACTTTCAAAATGATGTGGAGATATAATGGATGTGGGTATCATTTTAGGGATATAAATATAAATTAATAGAATGATATCAGAACATGAAATTTTGATTTCCAACCAGTTTCTAACTTACTAAACTTCGAAAATCTGGTTCTGTATCAGAAACTAGATGTCAGTAATGACAGAAGACATGTATCGCCCCAGAATCTTAATTTTTTTATAACTGTCTCCACTTAAGACTCTTAAGTCTTAAATGTTTGAATGTTAAATCTTAAATGCTAAAAGTTTTCATAAAGTCAACCTAACATAGTTAGCCAAACACGTGTCGAGGCGTTCAAAAAATCGGTTTGGTTAGTGGTACAACAGTGTTATGTTATAATTATCCCGGATTCACTGATCTAATGCGATATATTAGCAAAGCAGAGATTAACATAGTTAGCGAAACACGTGTCGAGGCGTTCAAAAAATCGGTTTGGTTAGTGGTACAATAACAGTGTAGTGTATTATCGTGCCAAAGGTTCCAGTCTTCGAGATATTTTATAAATGAATAAAAATAAATGAATAAATGTTCATTGATCCCATAAGCTAATACAAAAACAACATGATACATGTCATTACAAGTAATGAAAGAGATATACAAAAGTGCCAATCCAAGTTTAAATACATAAATAAGACATATATATACAGGGTGGCCAACTAAGAATCCAGAGTTCGATACCTCTGTTGTCTTCAGATTAAAGTGATAATCGAGCTTCACATTTCAAAATTTCTTTGAAATACACAGGGTGTTCCGTAAGGTCACAGCACATCAAAGCTATGTTTTTTTCATTGGAACACCCTATATATATTTCATTTCTTTTTTGAATTCTCCCTGAAGATCTGATTTCAACGATCCATCATACTTAGGGTCTAGCAGTGAAAGTTACTGATAGGGTGTGCAAGATCGAGATTTTTCCAAGTTCAGGTTTTTTTTCTGTCGAAACTGTTCATTATTCGTCAAAACGGTTTACATGTCCCTATCTCAACTTTTCACTCACTAACAATTGGTGTTCAATTGACATTTGATCAAAACAAATTATAAATTCAGATTTTTTGGCCACCTTTGTATCAATTTCAATTGAACACCAATTGATAGTGAGTGAAAAGTTGAGATGGGGACATGTAAACCGTTTTGACGAATAATGAACAGTTTCGACAGAAAAAAATCCTGAACTTGGAAAATCTCGATTTTGCACACCCTATATGTCAGTAACTTCCAATGCTAGACCCTAAGTATGATGGATCGTTGAAATCAGATCTTCAGGGAGAATTCAAAAAAGAAATGAAATATAGGATGTTCATATGAAACAAACATAAATTTTATATGCTGTTACCTCATGGAACACCCTGTATATTCCAAAATAAATTTTATATGTGCAGCTCGGTTATTACTTCAATTTTGATACATGACTTTTTTTTGTGTCTCTCAAGACAACAGAGAAATCGAACTCTGGAGTCTTAGTTGGCCACCCTGTACATGCAAATACAATATCATCACTCCTGATGCAAGTTCCAGTACTGCTAAGTATGTCTCGAGTTCATCGAGTGAATAAGAACATTGTGTGACTAAGAGTTCTTTTAGGCGAGATTTAAAAAGGGCTGGGAAATCCGCCTTTTTTATATGGTCTGGCAGACGATTGTTAAAGCGGCAACCAGCATTATTCGGTGACTTTCTATAGAAAGATTGTTTGTGTTTACTTAATTTGATGTGGTTTTTACATCTAGTGTTATGGGAGTGGTTGTCACTGTTTAGAGGGTACAAAAAATGCTCTTATTTATGAATATATAAATATATAACAAAGAAGTTTGAAAATGTAAATTGATACAACAGTTAGGATTTGATATTCTTCGAAAATATCCCTACAAGAGTTGCGATTTTTTATGTCAAATATTAGTCGGAGTATACGCTTTTGACAGGGCCTACTCTATCTCACCGGGCCGGAGCATCGCTTTCGTGACGTCACACTAGTAGGGACAAAATCAACGCAGTGGAAATTGTCTCTCCCGTTTCATTGATTTACCTCGAAAAAACGGTCACAGTTAGCGAAAAATATCAGGAGGTTAAATATGTACAGAACAGAATTTGCCAGAAGATGAATCAAATTTCACTGATTTACGATCATTAATTTCAGAAATATGGCATATCAAAATTGATTGACGTCATTCAGAATTGTCCTTTTTTAAACAGCTACCAAAATTCCAATATTCAATTCACAGAAATGATCCAATCATGAAAAGATTTCGCATAGTATCTAGATTGACTGAGTTTTTTTTCAAATTCCCGAGGGTCAACAACAAACCGATATTTCAATTCAAGTAGAACGATGATTCAGGTGTTCATTACAGAATAGTTCAAAAAGTTCGGACGCCTCCCATGCTAATCCTATCAACTATGGATATATGCTGTCACTGACTTTTTTGTAGAAAATTTGATTGCCTACAAATCGGTATAATACACATCCACTTTATCTCGAGGGTTTTAGCAGCGTTTATCTCTAAAGATGATCAGGACGCACTTTGATGACGTTAGAAATCCTATCACTCGAGTGTTTTATTACACAAAAACGCCTATTCGGTATTAATTATTTTCTGCTGAAGAGTATATATATATTTGAATGATAACGTTAAATTCATGGAAAAAAATTGATTTGAATATATTTTCAAACTATCAAAATCAAAAAGAACAAAATATGTGGAGTTTATATGAACACAACCTAAAAAAAATAATTGAAAAAATATGTATTTCAACAATGAGAGATATAAAAATGAATATAACGAACTGAATAACAAAATACCCAGAACAACGATATATGAATGAATAAGTAAAAAATGAAAAAAAAGCGTTGAATCCTTATACACAAACAAAACCAAAAAAAAAAAACTGTCGAAATGATCAACATAACAAAATAAAAAAAATTGATAGATATCACAGAATGGAATTCACAAATAACAAAATATATATATATATAAATGCATCATCTAAATCACAAACTAAAAATTGGAATCTGAACTATATCTCATCCTGAAAATTTAGTGATTTTTCTTTTTAATTTTTTTTTTATTTTGCAATAATTGTTCAATTGAATATTTGAAATGGTTTTAGAGAATGTTCTGCTGATTCCATCAAAAGACCCACAACTGCAACATTGATTCTCGGAATATTTGAGAACGGAATTGATTTAAATTTCTGCTAAATTCTCCAAAACTTTATGTTGTGACTTACATTGTAGAAATATTGTTTCGAATTTTTCAGACACCAATATTAGTAGGTCTGTACCATACGCCATTTAGAAATAAAATGAGTAATAAAAAGTATATCACCCTTTCCCAGTCCAAGGAGTTACCGCGAAATCGTAATACAGCGAAATTTGGGTAGGTAGGTATCATGGTAGGTATAATGGCCCATTTTTTACGCGCTCTTTATATTTAATTTCTTTGGGACTCATTGTAGGTAACTCTACAATTTTTTCACTATTCAATTGATTCATTATCGTAGTTCGATATGTTGAGTTAGTTTCATCTTATTCCAATTCCAAATTTGCAAAAAATAATATTCTGTAGTACAACGTCCTGATTTTCAATGAAATGGAATTTCGTTACAACGCCATAACTCGGTATTGATTCATCCAATTGGATTCATTTTTTCACCAAAAGTTGAGGAATTTGTTGGGGATCATTTCGTCTCGATTGAGTGTGCTTCTAAAATCCATAGTGAATGAGCTATAGCCTATCAATTACGAACGCACCAGTACGGACTGATGTGAAATTTCAACCTACTAGTGTGACGTCAGCGTCGAGAGAGAGGGGATAGACTACGGCCCGGTGAGATAGAGTAGGCCCTGCTTTTGAGCAACAATAAACCAGGGCCTACTCTATCTCTAGAGTAGGCCCTGAATAAACTAGTGATCTCAGATGCTTGGTCATACGCTATAATATTATAAGAAATGGCTGAATATACGAATGCGTAGTATATTTGGAGAAGTGGGTCAATTCTCAGCGTATTCTTCAGCTTTTTCCCAATTTCTCACAAACGAAATTTATTTGTTCTCCCCATGAGAGATTGCAGTCAATGTATATGCCTAGGAATTGTGATGAGCTTCTATTGCAACGAAATTTATTTTAAATCCCTTTTAAATCTCTGAAGTGCACTAAGACTATATCATCATGTAATTCCCTTCGGTATGTTGTCATAGTTTTGCCAAACAATTATTCGTGAAAAAGAGAAAATTGCCTATTTGATTTGAAAGACCTGTAAATATTCCAGGATCACTGGCAGACGCCCTACGAGACAAAATCGAAGTGCCCTACGAGCGCATCCCCCACTTCCCGAGGAGTACCGTCAAGGGACACGCTGGCGCTCTGGTCTTCGGCTACCTTGCAGACGTTCCAGTCGTGTGCATGAAGGGTAAGTTTAGAAGTGGCCAATCATCGATAGTATTGAATGTCGATAGTTTCGATAGTTATTCAAAGACTAGCAGACCTCGCAAACGTTGTTTTCCTACATAAATTATTTCTATAATATATTTTTCCAATTAAATATTCATCAAGACACTATTATTATTTTATTTTCTACTTCTTTTTAGTTTCGCTATCTATAAAACCGTGTTTCTCTAGTTTTTCAAACTACCAATTACTTGAAACTCTTTTGAGTTCACTTGAATTTCGAAATTTAGACCAAAGAATCATAATATCCGACTCCTGAAACCTGTAGCAAAACAACATTGTCAACTCTCTCTTACCTCAGCCACCGTATAATTATGGTTTACGTGTCCACCGGGTATATTTTGCGATTTCCCTAATTCATTGTTTTTTACCGATTCGCACTTTTTATTGCAGAAGGTCGTCGCACCTGTTGAGTCAATCAGCTGTTAGGGCATCTCGGTCGTCGATCTTTTTTCCTTTTCTGTTGATATTATAAATATTATTTATCATCTGCCAGGCATAGGCAACCCTCGGCACAACCAAATGCGTGGATGGTTGCCTAACTCGAATAAGGTGACAGGTACTATTTTTGAATTTCGCTGTTTCTCTCGCACCTACCAGGTTGGTAAAAAATCTCGCAAAAACCTTTGACTTGTTCTGGAAGAATCTGTTCGAGTGTTGGTCTGTTTCAACAAATGGTTGCCCATCAGTGCGCGTCATAAATTAGAAACCGAATAATTAATCATCACTGCAAATTCGTCTGTATAATTAGTGAATGCGAGTGGTTCCAGATTCGATTATCGGGATTCCCGGTATATTTGTCAATCGTGCCTGTATTTATTAGGTGAGTTATTAATCTTACTTTTTTTGATATGAAGCACGTGTTTGTGCTATGCCGGACTTGGTCCTGAAGCTAGTATTTATCAGTTTGCAGAATAGCATAGTGCCACTATAAACTTCCCCTTGCTCTGTATTCACCGGGGACGTATAGGGATCGTGAATTAAACCTGGTGTGGGTACCTCAAACAGAACCGGTCTTTTTTCTTAGAACCCCCTGAGAACCCCGTTTCACCGCAAACCCCAGATGAAAATTTTGAATAGAATCGGAACATAATTGCAAAACTCGTCCGCAATATTGGACATACCATCTCGAATTCCCTGATTTTCACAAAGGAATCATAATTTTTGATCCCGAGTACGCCAACTTACAAATTTTGAATAGAATCGGTATGTAATTACGAAACTCGCCCGGTATATTGGTTCCACCGTCTTGAATTTCCAAATCCCGCCCTTTCCAAATGTTGACGAAAGAATCCTAATCTCCGATCCTGAAAACACACAAATAACAATTTTTAAGAGTAATCTCTGGTAGAAGTCCAAGTTTGCTCAAAGTGGAGTGGAATTTTTAAAGGAGGAAGGAAAGCTCAAAAGACATCTCCACAACTTTAATATGATGTAGTTATTCAACGGGACATGTTTCGAACTTATAAAAGTCCATCTTCAGCCGTATTTAAGAAATTAATGGAGGTGAACATTGTTTGTTTTAACAATGATATTATGATGAGAGACATCGACAACTTTGTTAAAACAAACAATGTTCACCGCCATTAATTTCTTAAATACGACTGAAGATGGACTTTTATAAGTTCGAAACATGTCCCGTTGAATTACTACATTATATTAAAGTTGTCGAGATGACTTTGAGCTTTCCTTTCTCCTTTAATTTTTAAGAGAGTCGGATCATAATTACAATACACTTGACCGCCATATTGAGTCCGCCATATTGAATTCCCAAGTTTTGACGGAAGCATCATAATCTTCGACCCCGAGAACCACCAGATACAAAATTTGAATAAAATCGTATCCTAGTTACCAAATCCACCATTTTGGATCCGTCATCTTGAATTTCTTAATTTTGACGAAGGAAACACAATCCCTGATCACGAAAAACCCTAGGAACCAATTCTGAAAAGAATCGGATTATAATATTACAAAACTCGTCCGCCATCATATACAAAATATTTTAAATAGAATCCGACCATAATTACAAAACTCGTCCGATATATCAGATCCGCGATCTTGATATGATGGTACCGGAATAAAAGGTATCCTTTAACCTCCTCATGGCTCTAAAAGCTACCTCCCCACCAATGTTCAACCAAATCGATTCGTTCAAGGAATATTGAATATTTTTTATGTAATAATCAGCTTCTTGGTAGTAGGTTAAATATTGTTCTATATTTGTAACGTAAACTCATATTATTATAATTGATGGGTTATCAAACTCGGCCTAAATTCTCCATCAAGTGTATTTTCTATCAAATGTTTTTCCTATCAATTGTATTTTCTATCATTTATGTTTCTGTCAAATGTATTTTTAAATCATGAAATATTCGATCAAATGCATTTCTATCAAAAACACTCTCGATCAAAAGACTTATTCTATCAATTTCTTTAATATCATTTGTCTTTCGATCAAATTTCCGCCACCTATTTTTGATCGTACAATGAGCCACTGGTGAAGTTTGACAAGCTAATTTTGGGGGGTGGCGGAAATTTGATCGAAAGACAAATGATAGAAAAACATTTGATAGAAGTCATTTGATCGAAAGTGTTTTTGATAGAAATGCATTTGATAGAAACATAAATGATAGAAAATACAATTGATAGGAAAAATATTTGATAGAAAATACACTTGAAAGAAAATTCAACGGGGTTACGATCAAGTTAGGTCAGTACGTTTGTGAAGATATGATCCTTCTTTATATATTTGAGAAGAAGGAGCTAGATAGAGATCGAAGCTTATGAATTTATTGATAACACAAACTTCTAGCTCCTTCTTCCCAAATATATGGCACAAACGAACTGACCTAACTTGAGCGTAGCCCCGTTGAGTTTTTTATCAAATGCTGTCGTTTCTATCAAGTGTATTTTTGATCAAATAGCTAGTTTTTCTATGAATCGTATTTTCGATCATTTATGTTTCTGTCAAATGTATTTTCTATCATAAAACATTCGATCAAATGTATTTTCGGTGAAAAGTTCTTTCTATTTTTTGATTTTCGATCAAAAGACTTCTATCAAATGTTTTTCTATCATTTCAAATTTCTTCCACCCAATTTTGGGACACCCTGTATACACTTTTTTCACTATTCTTGTTCCTAGAATCTGCGGTTGAAATATTTCTATGTAATTTTGGGTCACCCTGTATAACTGATAATTTGCCATCTCCAGGCAGGTTCCACTACTACGAGGGCTATCCGCTGTGGAAGTGCTCTTTGCCTGTGCGGGTGATGAAGCTGTTGGGAGCCTCCCATTTGATAGCGACCAATGCTGCGGGAGGGCTGAATCCCAACTACAGGGTGGGCGATGTTATGTTGGTCAAAGATCATATCAACTTGATGGGATTCGCTGGGAATAATCCTCTGCAGGGACCAAATGACGAGAGGTGGGTGACCAATCACACTAACAGTAAGAATTAATATACAGGGTGATTCAGGTATGCTACACATTAGAAAGTTTTCAGCATGTAGTTGGATTAATAACTTGAAAATTGGTATGCTAGCTGTTATATTATTTCCAATCTGGCTGAAATATGTTTAGTTCTCCAGCTATATACAGGGTTGTGCCGAAGGTCGTCAACAGCTTTCTTATTATTTCGAATAGAAACCTATATTTTTTTGCGCCTGGCCTGCTGATACTCAATTTAGATAACCTTTATTTATTTATTTATTTATTTATTTATTTAATGTTACACTGTTCTACAGGTCAAACCCAACTACAGAACAGGGAAATAAGTATAACTAATAATACAGTTTTTCATATTTTGAAAAGTATATAAATATAGGCAAGACTTTAGCTGAAATAAAAAGATTTAATCGTAGAGATAGAGCAATGAAAGATGTCTGGCTGATTATTTGATGAATTATTGTATATAGAACACATGTTATGGAGAGGAGAATATTTCAGAATATTTGTTCGTGGTGTCGGAAGATAGAATGTATTGAAAACTCTAGAAATTTGTCTAGGCACAGTGAAACTCAGCTTCTGCAAAATGTGTGAGTCAGTGATAATGTTATTCACCACTTTGAAAAGGAACACTGTGGATTGACAATCACGACGGCAACTGAGGCTTTTCATAGCATGTCTAGCCAATAATGTATCATGAGGAAACCCGATTGGTGGATATACATTATCAGATCTATAGGAAAGAAGTTTTAGGAAACGACGTTGTACTGATTCAACTTTCTCTATATACAGCTGATGAGACGGATTCCAAATTAAAGATGCATATTCCAGTTTTGATCTGACGAAGGCATAATATAATGTTTTTGATGTGGCTGAATCGGAAAAATCTCTAGAGATCCGCGCTATGAATCCATACATCCTGTTTGCAGCAGACAAAGTAGCTTCAATATGCGGTGTGAATGAAAGTTTTGTGTCAAAGGTGACACCTAAATCGGTAAATGTGGGCGGACGTTGAAGTATTGTATCACTAATATCATACGGAAATAAAATGAGTTGATTTCTAAGTGTATATGTCATCACATTACATTTGCTAGCGTTCAAAGGTAATTTGTTACTGCAACACCATTGTTCAACGCGTTTCAGATTTAAAGATAGCCGTTCACAATCCTCAATATCATTTATCTGACAATATATCTTCAAATCGTCTGCATACATCAAACAATTGACATCAATTACTTCGATAATGTCATTGATAAAGGCATTGAAAAGTAGCGGACCTAGGTTGCTACCTTGAGGGACACCCGAGCTTGCTGCATATTCGACAGACTTGAAACCATTGAACATAACATATTGACGTCTATTAGTAAAATATGAAGCAAAAAGTTGGATAAGTGCCAAGGAAAATCCGTAACGGTATAGTTTCGACAATAATAGTCCATGATCGAGCCTGTCGAATGCCTTTGAGAAATCTGTATATACAACATCAACTTGCAATCGTCTGTCAATGCTTTCAGAAATATATTGAGTAATATTGAAAAGGTTGGTGATTGTGGAACGCCCTTTCATGAAACCATGTTGAAGTGGTGTGATTTGACTGCTCAGATGCTGATATAACCTATCATAGAGGAGTATTTCAAAAACTTTGGCAAAATTGCAAATAATGGATATGGGTCTGAAGTTACCGATGTCGAATTTATCGCCTTTTTTGTATATCGGACAAACTTTTGATAATTTCCATAAGTCAGGCATTGTGCAGGTTTTCAAGCAAATATTGATCAATATAGATAATGGACGAGCCAAAACATATGCACAATCTCTCACAATCATTGCAGGGAGGTTATCAGGACCCGTGGTCATTTTCGGTTTAATTTGCTTCAGAGCTGCCAACACTTCATTCTCGTCAAAACATTCAATGTTCAAAACCTGTGAATACGGATTGCAATCGGTAAAATCACTCTGTGAACTCATGGTATACGCTTGAGAAAAAAAATCTGCAAAGCCATTCAAAATATCAAGAGGATTCTCTAATAGTTGCCCTTCATAAGACATTTTATCCGAAATGGTGGTGGATCCTTTTTTGCTGTTGATATATGCCCAGAATTTATTAGGATTGTCTTTGATTTCCTCTTCAGCTGACTTTACAAATTTTTTATAAGCTCTGTCTACATCCAACTTGATTTTGGCTCTTAAACGACTGAATTCGACACGGGCAACAGCATCACCGCTGTTTTTAAACGAGCGCCAATGCTTCGCCTTGAGACGAATTTCTCTAATGATATTATTATCGAACCATGGCGGATATTTTCGCTTGAAGTTAGTATTTCTTAGGGGTACACATTGATTCAATACATTATAAATCTTTCCATATAGATAATTGCAGGCATCATTTGCTCTATCGAAAGCTTCCAGGAAGGTCCAGTCAATATTAGCCATGAGATCATACATACGAGGGAAATCCGCTTTCCTGAAATTGTACACCTTATTGTAGGACGTGACAAAATTTCTTCTCAAGTTATGAACAACATCAGGCTTACAATATATATTAAGTGCAGGGTGATGTTTATCCTCGGGTACTAACGGGTCCGATGATCTCTCAATGCGGCACTCAGTGCTACTACTACAAAAGGTGAGGTCGAGTATTCTGCCATAATCGTTATAAACATGGTTATACTGTGTTAAGTTGTTAATTTCCGAAAAGTTATTGAGAAGAGTATTTATTTCATTCTGTATTCCACCCTGTATATATGAAACATATGAAGGAATATTGAAGTCACCAGTAATGAGAATACAATTATCATATGTGACCTGAATATCAGTAAGTGTTTCAAAAATGATATTATACTTATCGTTAGACAAAGAGGGTGGAATATAAATATTCATTACATAGAAAGAAGTTGAATCAGTCACAATCTTAACCATAACTATGTCCACTGTAGCCAGTTCATGAGGAATCAATGATGTTATTTCAACCTGTGAGGACACGAATGAGTTATCAACTGCTATTAGGACTCCTCCACTCCTCGAGCACCTGCATTCAGCAAAATTTCTATCACAACGGTATATCTCGTAACAGTTTGGGAATAATTCATCGCTTCTCACTGAACTGTCTAACCAAGTTTCAGTCAATGCAACAATCGAGTACTCATTCACTGATATTGAATTGAAAAATTGTGTTGTTTTAGAACGTAAACCTCTAGTATTTTGATAAAACAGTTTGATTTTATAATCACTCATTGGAGAGTCTGAAAAGGTGTTGCTGTCAGTTGTTTCAGATGGTTGCTATGAACAGCTAAGTAGATTATTTTTGAATTTTCCTAATGCAGTTCGATAAGCAGTACATTTCTCTTTTTCCCAGACTGCATGATCTACTGAAATATTCTTGTTCGCTAGTTTAACGCAATTAGTACATTTTCGTATTTGGGACTTGCATGCTTTAACGTCATGATTGTCACCACACAGTAGACAAGTTAGGGGCTTGTCACATTTTCTAGAGGAATGATGGAAATCGTTACAAGTGAAGCATCGAGAAATATCAATCGCATCAAAAACACAACAGCTATCAAAGCCGATGAACAAATTGCCAGCTTTCATTATTCTATCATAACAATGTCTCTCAATTTGAATTACAGCTTGGTAGATACTATTATTTTTCTTAGTTGGAAAGATCTTAACTATTTTACAATCAGTTGAACCAGAGAATATGTCAGGATTACATTTCAATAATAAATCAAGCAAGACAGTGTCACAGTACAATTCAGACATTCCAACCACACGGAGTCTTGGACTGATACCAGCAAATTCTCGAACATCATAGGAGACTGCCATCTTTTCTTCAACCAGCCTTCTAACTTTTTCGTTATCCTCTTTGGTCTTGCAACCAATGAGAATTCCGCCATCTTTCATATGTTTGATTTTTGCTAATTGAAAATCATTCTGCGACGGGTTGATGTTACTCATAAGCTCGGATTTAGTTTGAGTTATAGGCTGATTCACATTCTTAGGATGGATAATAACAGCCGGATGGGTTTTATTCTTGACTACATCTGCATAAGGAATGGGAGTACTATCGACTGAAGGCTCCTTGATCATTTTGGTAACATCAGATCGAATGGATGATATTTGACTGTTTATTTTGGATAACGCATCATCGATTTTGGATTCCAATAGTTGACTGATTTCATTTTGATTGATCGAAACACAATCCCTGAGACAGTCATTGCATCTCCAAAAAAGACCTGGTACCGCATTTATTGCGTTCAGTATATCTATCGTCTTAGAAATACAAGCAGAGTGAACAGAGTTTTTGCATGATTCACAAAAAATCGCCGGTTTCGTTCTGCTAATCGCCGTTAAACATTCAGTGCAATTAACCATTTTCAATTGATAACTAAATCATAATGGGATATGGACTTACAAAAATAATTTTGGTACGATGATTGTATCAAATTATAGGTCACACTATTTTGCACAACTGGTAAACTTCCCAGATTTGAAATCACTATAAATCCGATAAAAAAACGCGAGAACTTCAGAGCTATACGTTCACTGCTGCTAATACCAATGCTAAAAAAAAAAAAAAAAATAAAAAAAAAAAATGAAAAAATTATACAGTGTGTCCCACTTACCATGCTCACCATTGGTATCTTTTTAACGGTGAGAGATACGAAGTCGGTTAAATGACACCAAATGTGGAATTTATCAAGGCCAACTAAAATGTGAAAAAATATTATGATAAAATCTATTCGTTTTTGTTTTATACGCAAAAAACAGATTTCGATCATTTTCTTGTCTCCTCCGTAACTTCTTTATTTATGAAAATATTCAAATAGGAATTTCACATTCTCATGGCAGTTTTTCAATGTGATTTCGAAAAAAATATGAAATTTATACCAACTCTTCTAGAATTTGAGATAGCAGCACCAACTTTAGTTTTTCAAATGTAGCTCATAGCTCACTATGACTTAGTTACGAATAACTTTC